CTAAAGGAATAAGTTTTCATGAGATATAAAGGAGGCTTTGCAAGCAAAGCAGGAACGGAGAGAGGGCATAAAATGCCACTCACAAAGATCTCTAAAGAAGAGGTTTAGACCTTAATGACTCAGTGAAGCGGCTTAAAGTAGACTAATGTTTATTTTTACTAGGTGTCTGATAATACTCTTGGAAAACAGACGACGCTGCTTTCTATGCAGCACTTCTACTGGAGTAGATTCTGATGAGATTTCAATAATGTTGAAATGATATGGAAGTGTACTTACAGTGGCGCCGTTTCCGAAAGACGTAAAAAAGAGAATCGACCAGTAGACCGGGCAACAGGAGTAATCGACTGGCGAGTAACGATGTGGTTGTCCAAACTACCATCAAGATCATCTAAGCCTGTGCTGCGGCGAGGTGTATGGGTAAGTCTCTGTTCCTGAGCCTGACGGACTGACGCCGAGTCGAGTGGGTCGAAGCGAAGCACTGGTCGTATAGGCGTTTGGCCAGGATTCTGCTGTGGCGAGGCCGTCTGGGTATTGAAATAAGGTTCGTCGGAGTAGAAAACCGAAGACCGGCTTCGAGCCTCGCGTCGGATTACGTCAGTGGATAACCTGTCGGGTTGGTCAGAAGGACTTCTACCAAAGTTGACGGGTGTCTGAGAGGGCCAGTTTTTGGCATACAGAGACGTTTGAGGCTCTGAATGATGAAAAAGATACGGTGTGAGATGCCGCAGAAAATAAAATTGGACATACAAGTAGCGGAAAGAAAACGCAGTTTTGCATGATATGGTCAACAATACCAAAAAGAACATGACAGAAGAAGCATCCTAAGCTAACCAAAAAGTGAGAAAGGGGAAGTGGAAGCCTTGACGACGGCAAATAAATTCCTCCCAAGTCCTCAGACAGACAGACAGACAGAATAACAAAACTGTTGAGTGGTAGAAGGGCGTTAAGGGACATACTCGTCCACTTGTGCCCTGGAATTTTATTTCGAACCCCGCCGACAGCCGCACAATAATCAGTAATACGGGCAGAATAACATCATCGACAAAGACTGCAATGGTCATTTTAGACTTCTTAGGCATCATCAGCCACAGAGAACCCCAGGAGTATAATCCCCATTTGAGTAGAAGAACGCAGAATTACATCCAGCAGACAGGCCTAGTTAGGTCATTATCAAGGAAACAGCGGACAGCGCCTAGGTGAAGGAAAGAAACTACTTGCATGCAAATGTCATAAATATACTATGAGAGACATTTTCTTTCCAGTTTCTAAATTTCGGCCTAGTTTCAAGTAGTTTAAATTAAAAACGCAAGCTGTGCGTAGATATAAATTCTGAATGGTCGTTAAGTAAACATCTCACTAAAACGAAACCCTGCGGCCCCATCCACAGGTAACAGTGTTGGAATTACGAAACCTGTTCGAGAGTGCAGTCACTGGTAAGCCAGAATGTCCACAATTGGGGTGGAGAAACTATCTATAACGAGAGCTGGCTGGTAATTATGCGGTCAAGCCTAACAGATAAGCAGTAATAGCTAAACATGGATAAAATTATCAGGGTGCGAAGTCCAAATCTGCAAAGTGAAGCATGCATGAAATTGGAAAAGCTAAGAGCATATAACGATCATGAAATTCAAGTAAACAATTATCTCGTGAGCACAGCCTTGTAATCTAAAGCGGACCAATGGTTCCGAAAACTATAACGTCAATACTGAACCCGAAGCCGATAACAGTTACATCCTTTACTAATATTTAATAGCGCCTCTTCTCTTAGGGCATAGAGCAACTACTGCGTTGTAGCAGCAGATAAGCAGCATTCCTGTATCCGTGACTGAAATATCAATTTGACGACGCCCCCGGTCTAGAACATGTTAATTCCGTCTTGGCAGCCAAACATAAATACCAGATACGTTATATGATTGTGTAAAATTCCCCACAGGAGGATCTGTCGTGATATGCTCATTGTACTAGAGGCGGTGTAAGCAAATAAATGGCTTACGAAAATTGCAATTACAAGCTTAATCAACTTTGAGAAACCACAAAGAT